TGATGTAATACATTTTACATATTTACTTGAATAAACTCGTAATGCATTTAATGAATTACCAACACAATTGATTTCATTATAAGTATTTTAATTTAAAAAAAACCCCCTAAGGTGCGTGTTAAGAATTAACCAAGGTATAGAGCTCAAATTTTATTGGGACGCGCTTCTAGTATGTCTGCTATTGTAACGGCTAGAGGGCAGCAATGTAATGATTTAAAAGTGTTGAAAACCATATTTCAATACCGTTGAAGGGAATGAATCGTAAATGTTGTCTCATTTTTGTTACAGTATTTTGCGATTATAAATCATTCTTTATAAGTTGTATGAAAAAAATATAATTTTAATTTAAATAAACAATGGATTTTTTACAAAGTTAAAGCAACACTATATTATTTACTACAGTAATATATTTGTATATTCTCATGTGTATCTCAATGATAAAATGGAGAGTTGTAATATTAGTATAAACTTTATTGGTTATAAATAACTGAACTTACCTAGAAAATTAATACGTATTCGATAATTCTGTGGTATCAGGATCAATAGTGTTTTTTATACTTTAGTACATCTAAAATATATAAATAAATAAACAGTTTTTCTTGAAAATTAATAAAAAAGAGATTATAATTAAATAATGATTAGCATTTCCAAGAATTGAAGACACACATATTTTATATCTAACGTAAAAATAATAATAATAATAATAATAATAATAATAATAATAATAGTTAGTGCCTTCCAGATTCAATCAATTTTCAACTAAGTGGTGAGTGTCCAATTGAAAATGTTTTGGTTTGTACAAGTATGTATTATTATAAGTTACTTATTATTTTATGTTATAGGTAATATTTTAACAGTGATTATAAATTAATTTAGTAAAAAACATAGGTTTTAACATTATATTTACCTGAATAATAGCTTTTAATCATATATGATTTATAATTTTTGTTTTTGGAACTTCGTCATAAGCTGTTACCTAATTATATTATAAAACATTTAATTAATTTTGTGCACGTACATAATTTTTTAAATTAGTATTTGTGTAAATGTTATTCATTGATTTTTACTAAAAGACTTGTTAAAGGTAAGTGGGTTTGTAAATATTTCAGGTTTCATAATATTTAACTAGAATTATTTTTAAATACCGAATATTGATTTGAGAATTTGAGATTGTTTATTTTAAAATATGTTACAGTATTCGAACATTTTTAACAAATATTTAGTGTAATAACATATAAATGATATTTAGGATCGAACTATAAAAATATTTTTCTAAACACAACATTTTATTTAACAAAATAATATTATGAAATCGAATTTGTAAAAATTGGTACTGCATTATATATAGTGGCGGAACTAAGGGGAGCAAGACAGGATTTATCCTCTTACTCTATACTTACATAAAATATTAGAGGGGACAAGAAATATTACACTTATTATACTTGTATATAATAAAAATTATTGAAAGATTAAAATGTTGTGCATACAATTAAAACATATGTGTTATAGCTTAATTTTCAAGAAACTAGTACATCAATTAATAAATATTTTAAGATAAATATTTTTTATTGGCCATGGTTTTGATATATTATTGATAGGCAATTTATATTTAAAAAATAATGGCATTCATAAATAAAAAATAAAATAAAGAAAAATTTGAATAAATTATAATTAAATTTTTTTTTTATGAAGCTTTTACATACCATTTAGGCTCTTTGCTATTCAAACTAATTCACCCCATACTTCTCACACGTAAGCTAGATTCAAGCTTTCGCCCTAATCGGGCTTTAACTTCTTCAGATCTTTATAAATTATTATGATAAGAATAAATATATTGAATTTTAATCAGGGTTCGTCTAAGTATTTAACAAAATATGCTTAAAAACACGATTGTTACTTCCACAGCAAATATTGGTCTTCGTTTTCTTGTACTTTGAAATATAAATAGATACTTTATAGTACATTATACCATAATTATAGTAGGTAGACAATAGTTAGTTGGATAGTACTATGTAATCAAATATAATGTTGATTACATAATGATATTTTATATATAGCTACATGTATGATATATACAATAAAAAGCCAACTAGAAATTAACATAAAATTATATCACAGACCTATATAGTAAGTTTTCTATTTGTGTTACCTAAGATATTATAAATATATATACATATTTGAGATAATAAATAATTACTCTTAACAAAAAAATATTTTGATTTAATAAGACAGCGTACAAGTTTTATTGAAATAATTAATGATTACCTATCTTTTTATTCCGCTAAAACATCAAGCTGCCAGTTAATCATGAAATTATAAATATTTAAATTCATAAAATAATTGTTTTGTTATATTTTATGTACTACATAAATATTTTTTTTTTATTCTACTATGTTTGTGGTTTTGGCTTTTTTGAGTTCTTTAATACATTTAAAAATAGGATAAAAGTAGTGTGTAGCATTAATTTAACTTGCTATTTTTTTTCAATTTGTTTAAGCTCTCATGAATTTTGAAATCCATAAACATTGAAAACTAATAACTAGACTCTTTGGTTAGAATCTAGTTTGGTAAGCGTATAATGTATATTTTGGTATATATACTTAATACTTTAGTACTTATATATTAGTCATAAACTTAAAAATTTATTTTAATTACTTATAGTAGTGTATATTACATGTATTCATGTATAAACATTAGTAAATACACTTAAAAATGTTGATAATGATTCTGATATTGAGTACCTATTATATTTTATCTCATCTGCTTTAATATTCTGAAAATATGTAATTATTTATCAATATAAATAATATTTTATAAATAGTTGTATGAGCAGTGGAATAAGTTGTTACATAATTTTACATTTAGAAATTAAGTTATAGGTTTTAGTTACTTTTTGAATAAATATTGATAATTTAAAAGTTGTACCTATTCATGCAAGATATATATCTAATTTTATTTTTGATGTTCACATTTTATGGAACTTTTTAAATCTACTTTTAGAACTTAAAATGTTAACAAAGATGATTATTTTTGTGAAATCAGATGATTTTTTTAAATGTTCCCATTGGAGATTTAAAACATTATTGTGTTACTTTTTACACTATTCAGTTAGGTACACAGAATATTTCGCATCACTATGTCTTGGACGGTTTTCAAATAATTTACTAATATCATTGATCTATCTACTCATTTTACTATAGAATTTTTACATAAAAAGGATTAAGTTTCAATAATAATGAATACTTAGAATAAAAGTGATACATTCAATTTAATTTCGGATCAAATTTAATTGTAACATGGTGTCAGATAATGTATCCACTAATTAAATATGAAGGTACACCATTTTGTGCCCGTTAGAGTATTTTGGTTGATTTCTCGGGGGGTGTCCAATAATTAATGAGCTTCAAAAACAAAATGTTCTGAATTTACTAATATTTTTTTTACTGATGCAAAAATATATTGATTTTACTTTTTTTAAATTACTATTTTAGGAATTGACAAGAAATTTTACATTTGAAACTCTGTTAATAATAGACAAGTTAAACGTTATTACTTATAACTGATTACTTACATTTATTTTGAAATGTACTTTTTTATATTAATATTTTTGTATAATTACTTAACCCTTTTTAAACTAAAGTATCTCTATAGCAAAAGATCTAAGCTAGTATCTAACTTCGAGCTATCGTGACCCGACTATGTTTATACATTTTTAAAAATAGCTAACTATAGCCTAATGCTGATCAAAATTATAAAATAAACTTTTACAAATTTATTTATAGTTGGTTTTTTAATCTTCACTTTTTTTCACTTAGAGAAGATATAACTGGTTTATTTTATATTTTGTAGTATTATTTTAGAATAATAAAAATATAAATATTATATTAAAAATTTACAAATTTACAAATTTATTTATAGCTGGTTTTTTAATCTTCACTTTTTTTCACTTAGAGAAGATATAACTGGTTTATTTTATATTTTGTAGTATTATTTTAGAATAATAAAAATAATAATAATAATTTGTTAAATATTGTAAATATTGTATACTTAATAAATTCTGGCACATTGATACGTTATTTCTTCATAATTCCTAATACCTATAATTGGTTCATAATACTAATTATTTATAATATTATAATGAATAGGTATTTAGTAGGTACTTACGTTATTCAGAATTCACCTGGTATTTACAGCACGACGGTCGACGAAAAAATGAATGATAAATTGACAAATATTAATATTATTACTAAACATGCCTGATTAATCGTAAATAAATCTTACAGAATGTCGTCGAATCTAATCAAATTAGTTTAATTTTTGTCATTTATATAAAAATACCATTTATTTTATAATAAAAATATAATCTTGTATTATAAAATTATTGATAATACCAATATATTAAGTACTTTTTTTTTTAAAGTCGGTTGGAATGTTCTCCATTTCTGGATCACCCCCCCCCCCCCATCATATACTCTTGTAAATCTATATTGTACCATGTATCTATGTTAAAAATTGTACATCTTCAACACAGATAAAAATTTGGGCGCTGTTTACAAAAAAAAATAATAAAAAAGCAATTTAGGTGCAGTTTACGTATGCCCATGAAAACTGTAGTTCACGCACAGTAAACTTTCGGGACCGGGAGTGAAAATCTGTCCGTTAGTAGTCGATTTACATAAATCGGTATTTCTAAGTGGAAAACTGTCTTTACGCGTTTTCGCATTCATGGACGTTTATTGCAATCGTCACGTATTAGCTTTAGTGAAACACTAAAAACACATTCGAGGGAAATTTGTCTTGCGCAGTGTTACAGTCGCGTTCGCACGCGAACACGGCTAGGCCTCGGCAGTGCACGGAATCGATCTACAGATATTGTTACATAACCGCCGGAGTTACCGGTGGAAAAATGTTTAAGAAGCCATATCGGAAGAAAAGAGGAAAAAAAAACCGCCTACGTGTATTGGATTTCACCGAAACTTCTCGCTACCGGTGTCGAATGCGCACGGTATGCGCGGACGCGGTTAACGCAGTCTTTTATCAGACGGTTCCAGCGGCCGCCGCGGTCTCCGGAGATCTTCCGCGAGCGACGGCCATAATTCGTTCGCGATCGCCTTCGCGCCTGTCCCTCGCCATCCCTGCCGAGCGCCAGCACCGGCCGTTGCGTTCCCCACCGAGCGGAGGACAAACGACCCGGAGGATCGAGGGCCCGCGCGATGGGTTCGGATACGGTCGGCGACGCATCCGCGGTCCAGCTGTGGGACATGTTTTACCTGGGCGATCCGCGACGGCACATGCACAACGACGTCAAACACGTACCGCAACTGTACGCGCAGGTAAATCGGACGCAGCAGCAGACGTGTGTTTGACGTGACCATCGGCCGGCTAGGGTTACGCGGCTAGGTTACGGGGCGCCGTTGCAGAGAAGAAAACATCCGCGCTAAACCGATAAACCTTACCGTACGCGCGATGAACCGACCCCGGGTGTCGCACGTGTTCCACGGCCGCGGGGCTGACCGCGCCACCGCACAGCTGTATTGTCGTTAGTCGGGTACCGTGAACTTCACGTTGTCTCCTCGCAAAGGCCGTTCGAAGGACATCGTTTCGCGATTGCCCACGTTTAATCCGATCGGAAAACGTGTACGGGGGAGGTTTTAATTCGATAATTTTTCTGCAGGGACTCGTAGTCGAGACGTTTTTCAACGGTTTACGACTGGTGCGTGTCGTCCTAAACGCTACTTATTCGATTTACGAGCGTGCGAACACATCCTCCGTCGTATAGTTGGCAGCTTCAATAAAAATATTGTTCCAAACGCGTAGCAGTAGTTTAATTATCATTGATCCGCGCACGATATTTTGATAATTCGTGGCGAAGACATTTATATAAAATATAATATGATTCATATTATTATTCTAATGCTTCTAAGCTGACACATAATCTGATCATTGTCACCGGCCCAGGGAGATAAATCTCCCCAACTCCCCTGGCCAGTACGCCACTGATTTGTTGCATTCTCTATGAATACTAATAACTATTGTTTGATGATAGTATTATACATTATTATGATACAATCAATAAATAATATTAAAATGATAAATTCAAGTTATTGCAATTGCCAAAAATACTACTAGGGTAAAAAATTTAGGTATAATTATTGATTGGAATATACATATTAGTGGTATGGTTATGCGTTTAAGGTAAATTATTTTTAAAATTTATAAACTAAACGAACTCTTACCTAAGGAAATTATGTACTCAATATACAATGTACACAGACCGCTGGAAATATAATAAAATCAAGTGCTAAGAATCTGTCTAAACAAAACAAATCTAAAAGGTTCCACAGCATCTAACTATAATATTCTAAAAATATTTCTAGTCAGGTTATTGTACAAGCAATCCATCATATTGAATGTATCGAAAAAATAATTTTAATTAAGCCAATAAGCGTGGAAATAGAGCTCGTGATATCTAAGTTTACAGAACGAAAAATAATGTTGGTAAACATTTTTTTGATTAACTAGATCTATTTAATTTCAATTAAATGCCAGTGTATTTAAAAGATATACATATTTCATATTGTTAATACAAAGTCTAAATGTATAATAAATAAAAAATCTATTACAAACTGGTTGCAAGGTGACCTTCAATTTTAGTTTCTTAATAAAAATTTTATAAAACGTTGTATAGTAAATTGTGTATGAATTTAAATTTTATTTAATCGTTTTAAAATATTCCATAACTCAATTTCCTCCCCCCCCACAAACTTAACTCAAGAGTCAAATACATTATATGAATTATTTAATTTAAATATTTCGAATTTATTGTATTAAAAATTGCTTAAATAAAAATAAATACAATTATAATTTTAACATTTATAATAAACTAAAATTTGTTCTGAGGACACCATTTTTATTATCTATTGTTATTTATTTTGAAATTCTGATTTATACATTTTAATTGTGGTCGTAAGGCTACGAATACAGTTTCTCATTATAGATGATTTTTAAAAGACTTAATCTTAAAGAAAGCCAAAAATTAAATGCTAAAAATTAAAAAAAAAACAAGGGGTCTGCGTGTATGATTATTAAGTGTTATCGACTATCGGTAATCGTAGAATTATTATTTACGCCACCGTTACGATTGATCCAGGCATGGCCATATTTCTTGACTCTGTTGGTGTTGGAAAACGGATTGCGGCTGTGGCAGAGGAAAGAAATCCTCAGACTTAACGATAGCATCACTTCCATGAGCCATGCGATTTTGCAAGAGTGTGCCAAGTACGTGATTGGAAATAGTTTAATGCGATTGTTGTAATGGAAAAAAAAATAAATTCAAATTATTAATCGTTTATATAGATTTGTGTACAAGGGATCAGAATATTGTGTATACTTTTGGATTTACAGTAATTACAGGATTTGCGAATTACCTTGGAACTCGGTAATTTTTTGGTATTTCGCGGCAATTGCAGTCGATTTTTGTTATTATTGGATGCACAGAGCCAGCCACGGTAAAGTATCCGTTGTAGCATCTACAAAAAAAAAAAAAAAGCTCAGTTAATCAGATCGTGTTTTATTTTTATAGAAATTCACTTATTTTGGGCTCAACACCAGGTCCATCATAGCTCTGAAGAGTTTAACGTCACTGTCGGCGTAAGGCAATCGGTATTTCAAAGTTTAGTAGGGGTTGTAAGTAGAAAAAAAACCGTTAAACCATTTGATTTGCCGGTTTAATAGTTACGAGTTGAAATGTTGTTAGGTGTGTTATGCACCTTTGGCTTTATTGGTCCCACCAGTTTTGCTATTAGTACACCAACAGCTGAGTCTCTTATATCAGATTTGGATCCACACTGAGACCGTAGAAACGCTCGGGCCCTTAAGTTATGTTTTCAACACTCCGGCGTTCCACAGGGTGCATCATGGTAAAATATTAAAATTATATTGAAATGGACACCTGCGAATTTTGTCGTTACATATTATTCAAAAGGGCTTAAATAATTGTGTAGGGAGCACACTGTATTGTTTGGATAAGAATTACGGAGGCGTATTGATTATATGGGATAGAATATTTGGAACGTTTCAAGACTTTATTCCGGACAAGCCCATCACATATGGCTTAGTGTATCAGAAAAACACGTTTAATCCTCTGTCCTTACAAGTAAATATCCGTCGCGTGGACCCAGTCGTAGTGGTCCATAACCATTCAAGTATGCGAATAAGGTTAATTTATTCATCAATTGCATATTATATTTTTCATAGTTTTTTTACAACTTAAACATATATTACAAATGGATCAGTATGAAGGGTTGGAAGAACAAATTTAAATCAGTCATTAAGGGACCTAGCTGGATACCGGGTCTGTCGTGGACAGGGCAAGATGGAAGACGTGCTAGTGTAATAGACAATGTATTAATCATGTAGTGTTATATTTTTAAAAATTGTATTCAATTGATTTAGGTTAAAGGACTTAGGAAAAAATATGACGTAAAGTTATCCTTGCTATTGAAGTTTTACGTAGTAGTCCATTTTGTTGCAGTTGTTAACGGATATTTCACGTTGACAAAAACACCTCGTTCTGTAAGTATAGTAATGTTAATCATAACATTAATATCGATATTTTCGATACCCGAGTGTAAATAGTCTAAAATTTTTTTTATTTGTACACTTAATTCAACAATCTCAACTAACAAATAAATAACAAATAAAAATTTTTGTAATTCACTTAACAAATTATTTTATTACGCTAATCATTATAATATCAATAATTAAACATCAATTACACACATAGGTATCTTTTTCACATAGTTTTAGGGTTTGAATTATAATTTTTAACAACACATCACAATATTAAAATCACATACATATTTATTTAATTTCAATATTTCAAAACTTAAAAGTAACACTAAATTACATTTTATATCAACTAAATATAATAGCTACATCTACATGATAGTCATAAAAACACAAAATATTTAAATAGAAATTAGAAACTTAGTAAGAATATCGAGCAAATTTTTGTTTGGGTAATAAACTTTTTTAGGTAAGTAGTAAAAAATCCTTAGTAGTAAATTTCACACCACCCATAAGTATGTTTTTCTAAGGATATTTTTACTTCAAAGATAATTTTTAGCGTTTTGGTAAATAATGATCAAGATTATTTTAAAAAATAATACTTTTAATGAAATTTCAAAATAAATCAGAAAGTTTATTTTTAATCTGAATAATTTCTAAATTGCTCAAACGTTTCATTGCAATATTAATATTAAATTAATAAATAAAGTTTTTATGTAAATATATAAAAAGAAAAATAATAGAAAATTAACTGACATAAAGATGTAAAAGATGCAGTATCATGTTGTTTTTTAATTTTATTCAAATATTATTTTTAAAATGTATCTCCACAAGTTATAAGAAATGCGATTTCATATAAAAATCGTTATTATTTATTTAAATTCCAATGATCCAAATTAACGGTATACAATATAGGTACTATAATATAGTATAACTATACAACTACACGATTTTACCACATGATGTTTTTAATATAATGGCTTCTGATTGTTGCAATTGACTGAATTCGATTGTACTCAAATTCATGAATGGATTATTTTACTTTATTTATTTTTTATAACAAATTGGGATAATATTATAAGTGAGAACAAAGGACAGGTTATTTTTTCAATCCAATTAATATAAGTCAGTTGTTTGTAATATTTAGCAATTTATTTCACTGCCTAACTTGTTTAAAAAACTGTATAAAACTAATAACACTGGTCAATCCATACATAAATACAAGTACATAACAGTTTTTTTATTATTAAAATATTAGCGTACACAGCATAAATGTATGGATTAATTAATATTCAAAGAAATATTTTTATATAGGTATATATATATTGATATTGAACAAATAAACCTATTTAATTAGATCAGCTAATGGAAGAGAAAAAAAAATGTTGTTTGTTTTTAATTAATACTCTAAAACTAAATATAATAATTCACAGTAATAAATGATAGTAAATTATTTAATTGGGTTATTATATTTGTAATTTAAAAATTATACGAGTTAATAAATTTTAAATTTATTTTAAGAACTAAAAAGTAAAATTATTTATCGTACTTTCGTAACCTTAAGCACATTACTACGAAATATAACGATGATGACATCCTACATATATAAATGTATGCTATGTATTAAATAATTTATTATATTTTATAAAGGGATTTATTAGCCGTAGGAGTTTTGATTTTAGTGTGAACAATGAGTATTTTAATATTTTATGTTTCTACTTGTATTTGTAATAGGACGTAGAACATATTATAATGTAAAATAAAACACCATGTTAATTTTAATTAGGGAATGTGAAAGCTACGAAACTAATCCTACAATTTTATGATTGAAAAAGAATTCAATGATGCAATGATATTTATTTTATTTTATATAGTATATGTTATATTTTATTTAACATTTGTTAATTTCGAACACAATAATAAGTTATAAACCACTGAAACCATTAATTGGGTCAGTTAATTGTAATTATGTAACAAGTGGATTTTTATTATATTTTATTTTTAATTTGTGTAAAAAAAAAACACGCACATTTTAAATATAAAATACTGAACAAAATTGTTTTAAAAAATACTGAATTATATTCATATAAATAGAATACGGTTTTAAATTAATTTTGGTGATAACAAAAAAAAAACTTGAGTCAGTAATTCGGTGCCATCAGACTATTTTTGAAATATTATTTAAAAAAAAAAAAAAGAGTCTGTAAAAATACAATTCAATATTTTTTTAAAAATTAGTAGTATAATAATTTGTCATAACAATTTAGAAGAAACTTAAAACGTATTATGTGTGCTAGACAACCTTTGTACAATGAGGTATTTATATTATTTATTTATTTAATATTTGTGTTAAATTATCAGTTCATTTAAGCTTAAATCGATTTACTTTTGTTAGTGAATCAAATTTAAAAATCGGATTTTCATACATAATATTGATACAATGTGTCATTATTTCGTTATATTATTTATGTATTTATATTATAAGAGTATAAGATTGGTTCACCGTTGGTATTGTATTGTTAAAATTATGTAAATCGAATAAAACGCATAAAACCCGGACGAAAATACAATGGCTGTAATATATTTACTACGTTGTGAAATGCAAATGTAAAAGGAAATAATTTTGTAATAATTAGCAAACAGTTGAAGTTTAACGTTAAATAATTTTTGTTCTAGGATATAAGCATCACGTGTATGGCGATTTCCACGTTTTATATTGTCTGGTCATTGACGAACATAGGTTTAATATTTGATAAATCCTCGTGGGCAAATTATTTTGAACTTTCAAGATGTTTAGTCGCGTTCGTACATCTTATGTATTTTGAACCATCAGAATTACTAAGTATATTCGCTGTAAACGCATATCAGTGGTTAATGGGTATTTCGATTGTTTTTTGGGCTACAACATGTTTGATACGTTAACTATTCACCTTTATTACACAATTTTATGTTCATTTTCGTGACGTGTATAAAACAAATTATACTCATAAGCGTTTATTGCTAAGAAAAAAAAAATAAAAAACAATAAAAAATAAGAATAACAATAAATAAATAATTTAACACATTAACATGTCGAAAGAATAATCATATTTAAGCTTAGCTTGATAAATATTCAAAAGTGATTATTGGCATGGTTAAAAAAAACTGATTTTTTATGTAAAAAATTGCAACGTATTCAACGATTTATAAAAAAAAAAAAAAAAACAATTATTCCTTATAATAAAGTATAACTTACTACTTAGTTTGAATACATTTTTTTCAATCTCAAATTCTAAAATACTTAACTTCACTTAACATTAGTACATATTTCATATACATATACAGTAGAATCCGTTTAAGATGCTCTCCAAGGGACCAGTTATAAATAGCGTCTTAAACGGGAAATCGTATTACGCGGGAACAAAAAAATTTTTAATATATTTTGCAATACATCCATGTTATATATATATAAATTATATTTTTTACTTTGCAGAGTAAATTATATTACCTATTTCAAAAAAATGTCTTTCTTTCATTGTTTCAAAGTTTTGATGTTTTTTGAATACAGGAAGTTTTCAATTTTATTAAGATGATATATCGTTTCGTCAGCGTTGTCAAAAGATGCAATTAATCTTCTTAGCTCATTAACATGATCAAGTGCATTTGTTACTATTTGTCATTATTCATTATGGTTATTATTAGTGAGGTATTTCTTTAAATTGTATACAATGTATATGTATATACAATATATTTTTATATGAACATCATTGACAAGACGAGCGTATTATCCAGAGTTAATTACATGTTAAATGTTGTCAAAATCAAGAGACTCGTAAAAATGAGCGTATTAGTTGGGAAATCGTCTTAAGTGAGAGCGTCTGAAACGGGTTCTACTGTATAATGTTTCTTTTGGCTTTATTAAAGTCTAAACCATATAACTATGTAAAATAACCGTTATCAACTATCCTCTAGACATGTCAAACATATGAGATAAAAAAAAAAAATAATGAAAAATCAATGATTGCCATTAATCAGAAATTAACTTTAGGGCGATAATTTCTGTTACGTAACAATATTTACAGTTTTATAACAACTTATAGATATAGTACATGTTTCACATTTAATACAAATAATATAGATAACTAATGCATTTCTGTGAATACACATAAAATCATCACATTTAATTTTGTTAAATTGTTTATTAATAATAAATGTGTTTTGTAATAATATCAGTTTATTGAAAGACGTTACCTATACATAATATCTTCGGTACTATTTTCTGATGGGCCGAATTCTTCACGATCTAATGAATTCATCAGCTCTTCGTTTTGATTTCGAACTAAAATAATAGTATAATAAATATTAGTTCGACTGCGTGAAAATGAGTGGTGTAACATAATGTTATTAGTTTATTTATTTACCGTTTAAATTAAAATTGTTTTAAAAGTATTTAATAAACTTTTTGAATATACCAATACAATATGCTTAAAAAAATGTACCACGATTTATAAATAATTAAAGTTGGTAAATAAACCAGGTAACATAGATCATAAACCTATGTCAGCAGTCATCTATACGTATTTATTTATGCCAGATAAAAATAAATCAATTTGGTTGATATAATAATTTAATTTATATTTCATACTTAATGTTATTAATTTTGTAACGTATCATGAATAAGTGACAACTTAATACTATAATTAGTTTGTACGAAATCTTATTTGCCAACTTGAGAATACGCACACACCAAAGAACAATCACGACGATTAATTATTATACGTTTCGTCGTATCTTAACATGTCGATGAATGCGTTGATTTATCTCAACATGGTCACATATGTACACAAATATAACGAGCGCACAGTCAATCGTAATTAAAATAATGAAAATATATTACAATAATCGGTACTTTTTTTTTTCATTCAAAAAAGCCATATAAAATAACAATTCTTGTTAAACAATCGTTATGCTACCCACGAACTTCGCCGTCACACGTTTTATGAGAGCAAATACAGATATCTTATATAGTACAATAGCAAAGGAAATAGTTACTACACTCGGTGTGGACACTTCGGCCGAATTGTGGTAAAGCGAGAAATTACGACATTAGGCTGGAAAACACGTACGTGACGTTACACGGGTGAGCCTCATAAAGAAGTGGGTACCCATGTCCCGTACACCTATTACTTACCAACTGGCCCCTTGAAACGAGTGTCCGACGCCACTGGACAATTTAAATAATACGCCATATGGTACCGACGCGTTTTCGTGAATCACGTATCCGTATTATGACTAAAATTGCGCTACAATAGATGTTCTTTCAAATAAAGTTGCAAAGATTTTCATCATTTATTTTTTTCACTTCAATTAATCGTGGATGATCGTTTGAATGTTGTCAAATTAGGGTGAAAATATACTGAAACGTTCGTCCGATAACATCGTGTGTTTTGGTTATTGTTTTTCGTTTTTTTTTTTCTAATTTATATTACGCACATTATAATTGTTCGATTCAAAAACATTACACGATGTGAATATAAGAAACAAATATTATTTTTTTTCAGGAATATTTTCTGATACTCTCTATATCTGAAATTAATTTTACTTTACACAAAATCATAGTGAAAACATGTTATATTATTATTAATAATTTCATTTTATTTTTTAAACACAATAAAAAACTAGAGTGAATAAGAAATGTAATCCCTGATAGTGTTTCTATATTATTTTTCTATATGCATTTATAATTTCTATACTATGAACACATTTATCGGCTCGAATACATGACATCGACAAAATACATATACTGATGTAATAAAATAACCAAATTTACAGGTGCACACGTTACATCTGTTATAAATAGCCAAGTGTTATTATAATTTCATATACATACCAGTATATGAATGCCGAACGTCCGTTTTGTACAAAAACAAAAATAATTAAATCACTGAGGTTCTATTTACCGTTATCACAGATAATATATTATTATGCGTACAGCATTTTAGTAATTAATTTAATTTAAATACGATGTAAGTAATTTAGAGATAGGTAACATGATCGAATTGTGTATTTGTGTGTCATAAATTTATGCTTATATATATTTACCTAATATAAAATTAAAATATGTACGAATTTTTTTTAGTGGGTGACAAAAAATAAGATAATTGAAGTTTGTTATACTATTTTTTGTTTTCAATTACGTCACAGTCGCTAGAAATATTACGGAATCTACCAATATATAGTGCTTTCAGTATTGACATGATGTGGCGCATTTGCGTGATAAAATTAACTATAATAATTGTAATGTGGAGAAATGAATTGTGAGGTAACCATAGCCTATGTAAGATTTCATGAGATTTTCGTACAGTGAAAACTGATGGGGTAATAACTGGAGACAGTTGGAAATAAATTGTTTGTCAATGGTGAAACAGGCTTTCACGAAAGTTTGCTCTATCGGAAATCCATGCAAAACGATTAAAATCGTTAGCTAGTATAGTATTAATAGTATTCATGTTAAAAACACCAGAAGTTTTCTAAAATAAAAAGATAAATTGGATTAACTAGAAATTTTCCAAAGTTTAACACTCAGGAATAATAGAGAAATATACTTATACATATCAATATTTAGAATATCAATATTATTTATGTTAATGAACTTTAAAAATCATTGCCAAACCAATAGTTTTATAATGTGTTGTTGAAATTTTGTTTTCATTTAACGCTTCAAATTTACTTTATTGTTATTATTTATACTTTAAAATAAACTATAAATTATAAGACATGTTTATAAGCTCTGCTATGTTTCAAAAAACTAATATATATTCGTACCTATGTATCAATAACGAGTAAGTGTATGATAAGCACAGTAAATAAAACAAACAGTCGTCAGTGACCCATTTAGTGATTTATTTATAAGTATATTGTGTGCCACTAATATTTTATCAATTACATTTTTATAGCTTGTGAACCATTGAAAGAAACGAATGGTATCGCATTTACAAGTTTAATTTTAAAAATTGTCTTTGAACTCATCATACGCATACTTAATACAGAAAATCGTGTACAACCATAGTTTTAACAATAATAGTTTACCGAGTTCATCAATCACGGGGGCCATTCTCAGAGTCACACCGACTAACAGCATGCAAGTAATGAGCAAGAGACCAGCGGTGATAATTATTGTCCATCTAGCTCTTTGAGGTAAATCATCCGGATGTATAGTGGGTACGGGGTGAGGTCTCATTACGTTTTGTTTTTCATCCCCAAATCTCGTTCTTCGACTTTTCTTTTTTATTCGGGTCTTTGGATTCTGAGTCTCGATGTAATTTCGATTATCTTCCGACATCCCGGCAGTAGACCTAATACATAAATTCAGCCATTTATAATTTATCTATATAACTTGTCATAATCATGTACTTCTATTTTGGTTATAAATTATCATTATGTAGACATTTAATGTTATTTATGAACATAGAAACAACATAAATAACCATAAACTACAACAGAAATGGTATAAACTCAATCGAGTTAAAATATAAAGCGGTAACCGTATTTTCACTAGGTACCATACAATTATTTTTCTCGATACTGTTTTCAACAATATTGAGTTAAAATTCAAAAACTAAATTAACTATTGATATTTATATTTACCAACTAAACAATTAAATGTGAACAACACTTTAGTAATATGTGATATTTATATTTTGTTTTCTTTGTACATTTTTGAAATTAGTTTTTTTATCATAGTCTTTCGTAAATTATAATGTTACAAATAAGAGTGAAATTATTGAAATTGTAAATTAAAAAGTTATTCAGATATATCTTATAATTGCTTTATATAATGACATATATAATAAAAACATTTAAAATATATAGCTATCGATAAATTAATAAATACTTATTAAACTTTTTAGAATTTCTTTCACTGTTTTGTATATCTTATATTATTATCTTGATGTTATTAAAACTGGAGAATTTAACAGTAAAAAAATAATTTTTGTTTCGTTTATTGAGAAAGTTTAAATATTTAAAGTAAATATCAAATTTTATTTATTTTATGATTGATTACAGTTTGAATACTACCTATTATATTTCTTTAAAGAAGGTAGCTTTATATCTATTGTATATTGTTAATTATATTTTGTTTAAAAAGTTATTAGTTTATGAACGTAAAACAACTAAACTTAGAGTGTGTATACTAAATTACATTAATTTGTAAACAATTTTAAATTAATTATGTTTTTTTATTTTATGGTTAAAAAGTTAAAAGTTCTGATAAGTTTTCTAGCGGTTGTGGTCGATTTTATTATAATTTTTATTATCACACAAAATAATAATAAAACATTTCTGACATAATGAGAATTAATTTCCTGTAAGTTAATTTCCTGTAATCATAAATGTAATTAATAATAAAATGTCCTTGATTTATACGATGAACTTTTAAAACTTTACCTTTGCAACGCTGCAGTAAGTATATGTCCTCCTAAATAAGGTACAGGTCTTTGAGTTTGAGGAAATTCTTCAACTTGAGATTGTTCTTCTTGTCGAACGATCCCATCGCAATGGTGATGATGGTGATGAAACAATTTGTGATCCAGATCATGTCTATGATGATGGTGATGATGATGATTGTGATGATGGTGTTTATGACATGAGTGCATGCATCGACCCTTTCTGCGTCTGATATTTTGTAAAATTAAAACAAAAAGTACCAACAACGGATCATTAGTAAAATTTGAGCAATATTAATATTTTCTTATAATTATGTATTAAGATAAACAAATAGGATTTAATGGTTCATGTAAGTGGTATCATGACTTTGCTGTTCATAAAAGAAATAATACATTTTGAACATTAAAAGTATTTATTTTAATTTTGTATTGTGTGCATTATACATATATGACTTATCATTATGTATGTAAAATAAATATTCATTTTCAATTAATTAAGTTTTAGTTACTTTATTATTATCCCCAAATAATTCATATATATTTTTAAATAAATATTTAAATTTAAATTTATTAGATGATATCGAATAATTATTTTGTTGAAAAATTATAAAATTTGCAGTACCTACTATTAATTGTTATTTTTCTATGGAATATAGGCTAATAATGATCGCATCTATCATCGTTTAAATTAAGATGAAAGTTATTATTTATGTTTTTTTTTTTTTTGCATTCGGTTATTCTCACTTATGATCGCTATGAAACGCGATGAAATATCTGAAAAAATAATCATCACCGCATTACGGCTATAAGTCTTATAATTCTGTTGATGGACATATATTTTTGGGGTAAAACAACAAAACGGTTCTTGGAGGATACAGTATATTATTGTGGCATTAATTTAGTACGCAGTATAAAAACTAAATAAAGTTAAAGAATAAAAGAAACATTGAACGGGTTCGAGTGGAAGTACAAAAGTGATACATAATATTACGACTCGACGATATATATTTTAACAGGTAGGTATTAGAAACCCAAGGAATAGTGTAATAAAACTACGACATTTGTCAACCAACTTGGAATGAACGGTGACGAATAGTTTCGCAGTTATTTTATAATTAGGTCAAACAAACGATATTTAGTAGAACAATTGCGATACTTTCAGTGATCAATAATACTTTCTGGAACTTATCACATGTATCGTACATGACTTCCCGTTTGCCGGTGTTCCGTTGCGTTCGTATACACACACACACACACACACACACACACACACACACACACACACACACATATTTTTGGAAATTAACCGTTGTCGTTCGTTTTCATTAAATTGCGGAACAAAAACCCTAACTGTCAACGAATATTATTATATAATTGTAGACCAAAGGCACTTGGCGGTTAAGAGGCAAAAACGCCACACGCGTGTACAATGTAATATGTACGTAAGCCGTGTGCGTCTAAATGAAAATCAATCATCAATTACAAATCAATCAAATCAATTACAAATACGGCACTACGACTCCTACCCAAAAACATGGTCATATGTCTAACCAAAATTTTAAATGGCTGCTTTAGACTTTACTACTTCCCGTCAGTCTGGAAGCGAGCAATTATAATCTCTATTCCGAAATCTGGCAAGGATCCCCAGAAACCGGACAGTTACAGACCAATAGCTCTGCTTTATTCCATCTCAAAGGTATACGAGAAAACCATTCTCCTAGAACTCCAAAAATACCTAGCTGATACCATTAAACCTGAGCAAGCAGCTTTCCGTCAAGAACATTCTACCACACAACAACTAATCAATCCAATAACCCTTATCAGTAATAATCTCAAAAACTGCACTCATACAGCCACTGCTTTCATCGATGTAGAAAAGGCATTCGACCGCGTTTGGCATGAGGGCCTATTCTTCAAAATGTCAACCGTAAACATTCCAACAGATTTCATTCAAATAATACAATTGTTTTTGTTAAATCGAACTTTTAGTGTCCGGTTAACTGACAAACTGTCTTCTCCAAGAGATATCCTAGCAGGTGTACCTCAAGGATTCTGCCTAGGCCCCAATTCTGTACTTAATTTTTACAAACGACATCCCCGTAACCGTTAAGGCATCCGTTGTTCTTTTCGCAGATGACACCATGTTCTATACCAGCAACTAAAACCCAATTAGGGCAAAAATTCAACTTCAAAGATAACTTCGACTGACCTTCGGCTGGTTTACAAAATGGTATCTCCACATAAATACTGCCAAAACCGTTGCTTTAGTGTTTAGTCATAAATGGACAACAAACCTACCTCAACTATCTCTCAATGGCACCACGATTCCTTGGTCCAATCATGTGAAATACTTAGGAGTCACAATTGGTCGTACACTCAACTTCGGGAAACACGTGCATGACTCAGTAAAAAAAGAAACAAGAACTCGTGGAATACTTTACCCAATTCTAAACAGGAACAACCCAGTTATATTAATATGCTGAAGATGTACATCATTCCCATTCCGACATACACTGGATCTACCTGGGCTCCCTTTATCTCAAACGCTCAATGGCGTCAACTCGAGGTAGTTCAAACAATAGGCACAAGAATGATACTCGGCATTCCAACATACGTGAAGAACGAGATAACGTTGTCTACCACCAATCTTAAGAACTCAAAACAACCATCCAACTTTAAGCCTCCGCACTTTCCTTCAAAAACAAATATTCAAGATTACACCACATCAGAGAGCTAGGCTATTTACCCCCCTTAACAAATCTCTAATAATCCAATAAACAACCAAAATCTAGTCCCTTCGAGTGGGCCACACAAATCTCAAATACAGCTTAGTTAAACTACCATCTCTAACTAGCAAAGGCAATAGCCTCGTGTAGTAAAAGACCTCTGGGTCGTTCGATAAGCAAACCAAAAGCGAAAATCAATAATAAACCCGTTGTTATTTGATTTTCGATATAATTGTGTACTAATTGAAATTTTTCTGAACCTGTACGCAGTGGCGGATCCAGGGGGTCTAGAGGCCTGGCACCCCCCCCAGACTAAAATATATTCGATCTATTATATTACTATACAGAAGCGTCATTTGGGGGAGAGGGTCAGGGTACGCGGTTGCACTCCTTAATTTTATAATACTCATAGTTACAACTGGGCTGCGGCCTTCTGAAATAATGCATGATTATTAATATGATTAAAATTAAATTATATTTTAATTTTTTGATATTGACACTTATCAATATTGGTATACTTTTAATCTTGATTACAACATTAATTACAATGATATTATTGATTACAACATTACATTGGTCAGAAAAAAATATCGAGCTATCAATTAATTGAGTAAACGGTAGAATGATATAATAGATATTATCCACTTATTGTTTAATCATGGAATAATTGTACGTGCGCAGCACAAAACGCAAACTTGTCTTAATACGATCATATGGTATGATTCTTACCTATATATTTAGTTATGATTTTTGACTATTTAATGTTGATGCAATGTTTCCGGTCTATGGTGTATGAAAATAATTGAAAGCAGAATAATGTACATATACACATATCTATTTTTATATGGCCAAATTATTGAACATAAAAAAAAGCTAAAATGTTTGCTATTATATTCGATGAAATTACTGACATGTCACAAGTCGAACTCATTTTATCAATAAGATATATATATATATATATATATATGATGGGAAAAACTATGAATGATTCATTAAATTTGTTGATGGCTATAAATTAATTAATACAGTGGCATAGCTAGGATATTTAAACGAGAGAGGCTAAACACTTTTTTGGGCTGTTTAGATAAGAAAAAATTTGGGAGTTCACCGTTCCTTTTTCTCATAGCCAAATTTATAAATGTATTTCCAGAATTTTTAAATACTTATAATAATATTTATTTAAAAATAATTTATAAAAATAATAAATTAACAGTGGTATAAACGTACCCGAGTTTGCGTTTGTTTTTCGAGTTTTTTTCCGCCAGTCGTTGTACCAATAACTTTGGCTGTATCCTCCATTTGAGTTTGGCCTCACAAATATCCGCCTTGATGGATATCACTTTGCGATTGACTAACGCTGCTAGGATGTGATGCACTGAATAGTCTTCGTAGTCTAGCTAATAAAGTACAGAATCGATTAGAAAAAAATAAAAATAAAAAAATTTGTAAACAACGACATAAAAATAAAAATGGCCCTTTATACTAAAAAAAGAAAAAAAAGGAAAAGAAGGTCATTAGAGCGAATTGTTTCGTTGTAATGTGACACACTCACGTCGCCCGATTGCTCTGGGTCCGTCGAAACTGCCTTCTCTTGTACTCGTAGTTTCGTATTCATTACTTAAACTTTCGATGAATTACAATTGCTGGCAGTCACATTGTAACCTGCTGTTATATGAAACAATATGCAATTAATAACACGTAATTTGGTTCTTAATGGTATTATGTTAAGGGATCGCAAAATGACAACTTAGCTAAAGCTAAAGTATGTATAGTGCGCGTTTTTTGCTTCGACTATAATAATTAAATCCATATTATAAAAAGTTAATTTTTGTCCTCGAATGATTTAATGATGCATAGGAAATTAGTATAAAAGTTACTTAAGTTTACCGTTTAATATTTTAAAACGATAAAAATGAATGCATTTAAGAACCTAATTGTAATATGTAAAACTTAAATAAAATTAATAATTTTTAAACGATTAAATTATTTAGATAAACACAGACATTGAAGGTACGTATTTTTTTGAATATTAGGATCTTCCATATTTTTAAAAACTTTAAAGATACATACATGTGAAGAAGATCATTATTAAAATTAATTCATTGATTACATTTAACATTTATTGTTAAATTAGTACCTATATATAATTTTATAATTGTTAACATATTTATAATGACCGAGTATGTATAAATTATATAGGTAATCGAGAATCATAGAGTTGAGTATTTAATAAAATAATTTTTATTTTCATAAAAAGGAAAATGTAAATGCTTTGATGAGTTATATCAAAAACTGTACATATGAATTATATGTTTCGTTTATTTAATACTTTATTTATATAAATATAAGTTTTTATAAGTAATTGAGTTGCAAATGGTTTCTATCATGACGAATTTTTAATGATTTGTAAAATAAATTGAGATGAAGCCGTGACAGTCGATTTCTGTATATCACCATATCGCTATTTTCACGAAGAATTTTTGTGGAATTTTTTAACTCAAAATTATCCGCGAAATCGTATTCACTTTAAAAATCTGTGAAATAAAGCTGAGCTCATATTTTTAAGTTTATATTGTGCTAAATATATTTTGTTGAACGTTCAAATGAAAACTTTCAAATAATAGGGATAAATAATATTGTATACATTATCATAAATTGTTATTTACTGTCCATAAATATGTAAAGGTATTTTTATTGTTCTCGGTATAAATGTATATGAAAAAATATAATAAAATCTTGAAATGTATTGGTTTATGTTAAATCAGTGTTGTTTTCATATTGAAAATTAAATAAATTTGTACGCAATAAAATAGAGGTGTTCGTATGAATCTTAAACTTTATGAAACTCGCCGACTAGTATTATATACATTAGAAATATTTATTTATATTACATTGTAGTTAAACTAACTAGTTCACTAAGTTTGAACAATATCTATATATGATTCAAACTTTTTACTACAAAAATATTGGTGACTCCATTATTCAAACTATTTTAATTAAGTTATTTTTCAATAACCTCGCATAGTAAGCGATTTGCATATGTGTATAGTAAAATCATAATATTTTCGTAACCGTTTGGATTTGTACTTGTTACCGTAAAAATTAGAAATTGATGTTTATACGCTCAACGAATTAATGTTCAATATCCATACTACGCGACAGTAGATCCTATACTCATAATAGTGTTTCAGTATATTTGTTTAAATTTCAAACTATTTATCGTAATCGTATACTGCCAAATCGATATCGGGTGCATCAGATAATCGGAAAGAAAAAAAAACCGTATACATAAGTACTTGCCATTCGGCATGCTGTTTGACCGGCCGAGCTCAGGCGTTCGATGATGATGAATTATTTCAAACGTAATAGTTGAACGCGCTTGTAAAGCGTGTGCGAAGCGGACACAGACAAAATGCGAGTTGTATACGCGTTTCGCAGTTAAGTATAAGTATTAATAACGGGGTACGCAGTGTATGGTATATTATATATCCGGTGCGGAAGAGAATCTTTGGGGTACCGTAAGTGACGAGAGAAAACGGTCTCGGTGATGGGACGGTGGTGACGGTGCGAGGAGGGTTGAGTTTAATAAAATAAATGTATTATGAAACATAATGGAATGTGTATAGGCTACGGGCGAGACACTCGAGAAACTTCCACCGGCGAATTGAGAAGAACAAAGAAGGAAACCAGGCTGCGCGCGCTTTATTTTTTCGTTGACAAGAAAAAAAAAAGCAATCGAATGATCGAAGGCTGGCGGCGAAGAAAAATGAATGATTTATCACCTCGCGTTAATCCCTGGTAAAATATGTGCGTATCAATTACTTTGATGTGATATTTAATCATCATGTATTATGCATAATATCTGCATGTTATGCATTGTTTGTTTATCCAACGGTCCATACTATTATCTGCGTCCCTATTTAAATACCTGTTATGTAAGTTTTTGATCGATTAAAGGAAACACGAATATATGTACGTAGGGCGTTCGAGGTGCGCATGTATATCATCGGTAGGTTCCTTGACCCGAAGTATTTGAGTTTTTGAATTTTGTTATTAAAAATTTTCATTTTTTGCCACGATGATGTGGTTTTTTCAGATCATAACGCATAAGATATGTATAATATATACAATATATTATATTGGCCGTAAAGAATTATTTAGATGGTGCAAAAATCATTTTTATCCGATAAATATTCGGCGAATGCAATAAACATAGTTCAATTTTAAACTTAAAATAAAAATAATTGTACAAAAATGTATTTTTAACTTTCATTCCATTTGAATTTTTATTCCAAGAAAATATTGGAAAATACGAAATATTGAATTCCAAAATTATTAGAAAACTTAATACAACGCTGCATTCGGTGAATTAAAATATTAAGGTTTTCTTAAATTACCAGGAACATAAAAGTTCGAGGTACTGCCGATTATACCATGTTCGTACGTTTAAGATTAATCGTATGTTATTTCATAGGCCAATATCGTTTTATAATGACATTTGAGTTAGTTTAATATTTCTACTCGTTTCTAATCACTTTTTTTGTGCACTCTGATGGTTTCTTATATAAGTACTTACATCATCTACGGGTTGAAAAGATGAAAAAACAAATTTTTTTTTAAATAGTTTTCTAAAATACCACGAAAAAATGTACGAGTGATTACTACTCAGTTTTGGGTATCTTTACAGTATCTTTCGTCTATATTTTTATATAATAAATCATTTGATTCTGTGCATAATATTTTAATCGTTTAAAAGAGTTTTTCGGTAGAATGTGCTTAGATAAACAAGATATAGGGTAAACCAGAATGATTTATGATGTTCTGGAAGTATTTTGGTGGCTATGTGTCTTTTATATATACAGACATTTGAGAGACCATTATGTATATAAGTTTTCAATATAAGTATATATCTGAAATATAGATTATTATTAGTTTGAAACAATAAACTAGATAACTGGATAAATTAGTTGTATTCATTTCCTAATTGATTCAATAGTATTAATAAATAATACCTAAAATATGATTATAAAATCAAATCACAAGAAAAAAATGTCATATTGAAGTGTTTAAGTAAAATAAAAACAATTTTATAAAACCACCTATGTTGTTTGATTTTTAAACGAAATATCTATTTTTAAGACAAATATGTTATAGTAAAATGCTCAAAATCTGTAGTACTTAATTAAACCTCTTGAATTTTCTCTTTGATAAAGTAATGATTTTCATGAAAATATTATGTTTCTAGATATTGCATGCGAGTTTAATAATTTAAATATAAATATGTTGTTTCGATGTACGAATTGATTATCTGCTGAAAGCTTTATTAAAATTATTATTAATTATTTTATTTGAATAAAAATTTTGAATCCAATAAACATATTTAAACTCGTCACATGAATATGATTTTGATAGATAAATTAGAAAATGACCATAAATATTTTGAATCGATATGACAGTAAATAGCATATTATTTGATAATTTGTTAAATACGTTTTAATCGTATGGTCACCGATGAAATAAATATTATTGTATTGATTTACTAATGGGTCACAAAAAAGCGACATACTCGTAAAATCAAATTATAAGCAATAAGTACTTGATTTTGATTTATGTCTGAGTGGTAAAATTTATAATTAATATCAGCAAGTGAAGATATTGTGTGTAAAGTGTCACCTAAAGATTCAGTTTGATGGCTATCACGTTTTTATAATAATATCAAAAAAAATTATTCGATTTGACACATTTTTCGATTAAATAAATCCAAATCGAGCATTTGCATTTCGCAATAAAACCTTAACAATCGAGTTCTACTTAAGTTAACCAAATTCACATTGAGACCCCATAAAAACCCGATTAAAAACTTTAAATCTCACGATAGGGCACGAGGATTCGACATTTTTTGTTCAAGTTATACGCTCGTATATGAAATAACACAGGGTCAGAATGTTACAGTTGTAAACCTGTTAAGTTAAGTTGTTAAGTTGTAAGAATAATAATGAAAACAAATCGAATAAATGAACTATCTTCTCACATTTCAGCAGAAAAAAAACTTCGACCCGTTACTAACGTGACCGTAGGCACGTCGAAGTACTTCGACTCGTATTATAGATCATGTCACGGAAACTGGACCGTCAGAGATGATCGGAGCGGAGAAACCCCGTCCCTGGAGCATACTGCCCTTACCATTTTGCGAGACTTATGTAAACTCAACCTACACACATAATACAATATTCATACACTTTCTCTTTAGTCCGCGCCGTCGGCCGAAATAATACACTTCGTTGTGCATAGGTACTTTCCGTTAAAACGCGATACGACGAACTGTTACAGTGCACACAATCGTCGGCCTCCGCTCAACGCTATGCTTAATGTGAAACTTATTTTTCCCGTCGTTCTGTTATCGTAACCGACTCGGCACACTTGAGCAAATTATAATGTATAGGTTATAATCATTAATTCGTACGGGTTTTAGGCTTAGGGTTTGGAATACGGAATTGAATTCTTATGCGGCTTTTAAAATTATTCATTAAACTAGGAGCTTAATGTGACCGTAGAAAATGTGCACGAGTCTTACTTATACGGAATAATTTAATATTGTTTAAACCCGAATGTAATAATATAACTGATGTACATTTTCAACATTTATAAAGCACTTCAAATTGTTA